TTTTTTTTTTTTTTTTTTTTGGTCAGGTTGCTTTAGCAATTTGGGGCCCTTTGTGTTTCCATATGAATTTCAGTAGTGTTTGTTCCAGTTTTTTGAAGAATGTCATTGATACTTTTGTTGGAATTGCATTGACAGGAGACATCTTTGGTTGTCACAACTGGGGGGGGGGGAGGGAGGGAGCAGTGAAAATTGCTAAAATATAAACTAAACCAAAGGTTTAAATGTTAAGAGGTTACCTGAGCAAAAATCTATTTGAATAAGGTAGTGCCAAACCAGAAATGGAAGTATTCCATTGGTAAGAGCCAGGGATAAGAAAACTTCTGTAGACAAGTTGCAGACAAAAAGCAAGGAACTTTTGGATTAAGTGGGTGCCTTATTTAGGAAAGCCTAGTTGGCTGGTTTTTCTATTTGTTTGTTTTCCAAAGGAGAGTGGGTAATTTTTGTTTTTTTTTTAAAGATTTATTTATTTGTGCATACAGAACTGGGGTACAGGCCAGAGACTCAGGGGTGGCGAAAGACTTCACCAGAGACAAAGAGTGGGGAGCAGAACAGGCAGATCGATGAAGTACACTGCTAAGGGGAGCAGCGGGCGGGTCAGGAGAGGTCTGCCGCGCCATGTCACCTCCGGGGCAGGCGGGAATCGAACTCATGCGCAAGTGGTTTCAGCTTCTTAGTGCAGTGCTTTAACCCGCTGCGCCACCAGGGAGGGCCTCTTTAAACATATTTAATAGCTTAGTCTTTATTCATCTTAAGACAACAAAAGGTGTTCCCATATCATCATAAACACAGCTAGATTCAATTAATTGTTCCAATGTTTTTGATCACTCTGTCACACATTCATTCTGCCAATGAAACCTGAAAAACCAGACAAAAGTCCCCTGGCTTTGATTTTTATCTTTATGCACCAGATTTCTCCATATAAAAGGGATCTTCAATACAATTGCCAACACACAAGAGAAAGTTAAACAAAACTGGGAAAAAGCCTGGATCTTTTTCAAAAGTAATGGAAAAACTCACCTTATACCTTCAATAAAACCAGGTGAACCAATTTAATATGGTCTTATCCAAAAGCAAAGTATGATCTAAAAAGCAATGCTACGATATCAACACAGGGAGATAAGTGCCTTCCTCAACAGATTCTACTCATTTCCATCCCCTCTCCTTTCACCTTTGATTGCTTTGAGAACTATCAGAATTACCACAACCCCTTGCCACCTGATCCTACTTTTTTCAGCAGATATCTAGTAATGTCTAGTGCTGTGCTATCATTTTCTATCTACTTATACCTATTTAATAAGCAGTAACTTAAAAGGAAGCACAAAACCAAACCAAAAATCCTCCAATATACTTCATTATATGATTGGTTTCCAGAGGACATTAGTTAAGTGAGACAAAATATTATAGCAGCGAGGGAAGATTGATCAACGTCACTCAAATCTCACTGTGTTCCCAATGAATCAGGGATGGGAGTTTATCCAATGAAAGTGCACGTGTGTGTGTGTGTGTGTGTGTATGGTGAGGGTAGAGGCAGGGGTGAAGGGCTACAAAAAGGAGAAGAAATCAACTTTCATCATATATTTAGAAATTCAAGGAAAGGCAGTAAGATGAATCTGAACACATTTCAGATAGTATGACATGTTCTAAATGAGAATTCTAGAAACTACAGGTTCCTAAATGAACTGTTGTTTAGGGGATAAATTCTATAGGGAGTTTAAATTAAGTGTCTCTGCTGTAACATCTAGATGTTTTCTCTTTCATTAAAATGTCGGGTCTGAATGTACTTTATCACAAGAAACACACGCACACACACACACACACACACACACACACACACACACATTAGAGCTTTCTACAGCTCCCAAAGTAAAAAAAAGAAAAAGACAGGGCTTATATAACTTTCTTTTTACATAAATATTACATCGGGATACATTTCAAATGAAAACACACACACACACATACACGACCATCTTTCTTACCCTTTAATATTTTAAAATTCATTTCATACTTTAAGTGTGGTAGATTTTTTATAAAATAAGTGCAAACCAAATTAGTAGTAAACACCTTCGAATAATTTTAGCCTTATATTACCTGGGAAATAGAGATAGAGAGTCACAAAAACCTGCTTTAGAGACAGTTAAGGTGCTGATGATTATGGGATGTTTTGCTGCAGCCTTGGGCAGTTAGAAATGGTCATGGGTGTTAACTAACTCCCTTCTCAACAGTCTAAGAAAAGGGAAAAAAAAACTGCAAGTTTCCCCATCTGTTATTTCCTTTTTTTTTTTCTTTTTGGCTGTGGAAAAGTAAAATTATGCAAGAGCTTTTGAATG